CATCTATTGGCATATATGCTCGGGCGATTGAAGGCCATGATCGCCTCTTTATTCTCGTTAGTGGCGATGTTAACAAGCCAGTATCAATGAGTAAAATCAAAGAAATATTTAACAAGATCGCTTGCGAAAGAGGTGTAAAATATATTGTCGACCTGCCTTCATATAATGTTCGCATCGATGGTATTCAAGGTATTATTGGACATATGCATACAACGAGCGAAGACAACATATTGGCGCTAGCAGAAAACAATTCAGATGAACGCTCACTTGTGATACTCAGCCCAGGAGCGTTCATCAGTAATTATTTTATAAATGACGTTGTGCATGTGAACCACCTTTAGCAACAACAACATGAATCGATAGAATTTGTAAGAGCAATGAAAAGAAAGAAAGAAAGAAAGAATACCCTTGCCTTGCGGCTACATTTCAGTATATGGTGCTGTCCGGAGACAGTTTCAAGAGCCCGATATTTTTCCTACAACTATCACTAGATGCAGTTCTGGACAGAAGGCCGGCCCGACTCAGAATTCCTTCCGGTTCATTACTTAAGCTTCCCATGCATACTGACTAACCACATACTATCCATGAGGATATTTTTATGCATGTCACATGTAATCAGCGTGTTATTGGATGGGTGATCCGAGCCAAAGCAGTCGTTAGTAACTTGTCCAACGTTATTCTATGGATGATGGCGCCGATGTTTGAACACACTATCTTGCGGATATGTGCCGAACATCTTAACCATTCAGCCATAGCGGCGTAAGAGCAATGATCAAATAATTGATACCTTACGAAAGTTTTCGTCTTCCTCCAGCTGTATTTTATGACAGCAAAACGATGCAGTACTTATAAAACATGGATTTAAAGGACAACCAGTTGCACATTTTTACACACCTATCTTTACGGATTCTAGCGACACATCGAGGACAATCGCGTAATCGTAGTCTATTCATTTTTTTCATACACCAGAAAATGAAAATTCTATTCAATCACTTATCATAGAAGATCTTGTGTATAAAATTAAATCAATTCTAGACAATTGTCTGATGAATGGTTCTGTTTCTTTTTTTTGTCAGATCTATCGATTCAGCGTTCTTGTATATCAAGCATTCTATTGTTGAGTATATTTCCATTTGATTGCTCTAGTGACTTTGCATGAACATTAATAACAATACAATGCTTTAATTAAAAGTAACAATCAAGTTTATAATCTTTTCAAGTATTTTTATTTTTACAAACAATTGTACCATGTCTATTGCATTGAAGAAAAGAAAGATTATTTTTTGTTAATAAAATAAAAAGAAAAATGAATATGTTAAAAACTAATAAAATCCTCGTCTACTATTTACATTATACACAAAAGAAATATATATATATACATATATATTCAAACAACAAATGATCTTCTTTCTCATTTTTTTGTTTTCATTATCATGTTTTTATATATACCCAGGGGATGAATTTTTTTCTGAGAGATATTCAATTAAGAAAGAAAAGAATAACAACAACAAAAAAAAGATTAATTGTTTTCTTCATCATATTTTAATCAGTATAGGATGTGTCACCCGTTGCTCCGGATGAAGAAAATGACGGGAGAGCCGGAAAAAGTTCTCTGGGCGATGGAGGTGGTGGTATCATTTGATTTTGGGCTGCTTCAAGAAATGGTAAAAGTAAACCATTGTTTGAATTATCTATTAGAAAAAAAAGAGTAAACACAAACATTCTCAATCAAAGAATGAAGATTTCGTTACCATCATTCGAATCAAAAAGACTGTTCACGGAACGACTACGAACACATTGAAAATCAACATGACGTGATTTAGCTTCTTCTTTTTCCCACGACATACGAATAAATGGCCTTTGAATATAACTATAAATTGCTAAACAGAAGAAAAAAAAAGAAAATACAAAGCTTTTATTTTCAAGATGTTGTTACCTTCTGGTCTCGCTCGTGGACGACAACGAACTTTTTCTTTGTGTGTCGGATAACCTTCAATACCCATGCGAATCTTTTTCAAACCACGGTCTTTTAAAACTAATTTGGCAACTTCACGATTTTCAATATACTTAAAAAATCGATACATCGACGTCGAACGTATGACTAAATAGGAAATTTTCAATGAAAAAAAATTTTCTAACTAATCCACGGTAACAAAAAATGAAAGCATTGCTTTCTTCTTTGATAGTTTCATACTTTGAGCTTTATCTTCTTCTTGACCAAGTTGTGGTGGATAATCATCGTCCCATTCAATTAAATCATCATCACATAAAATCACTATTTGACATTCACGATCGCCACGCTAATAATCAAGAAAGAAAACACGTTTATGAATTTAATTTTGTTTATTTTCTTAAAATTTATATCAATACTTGAGCAGATTCAACCAGTACAGGAAAAATATTTTTTTCGAGAAATATTTCAAACTGTTTTTTTGCACCATCGTTTGATAATTCGTGTAGTAAACCACAGAGATCTTGACATTGAATTGTTAGTTGATCAAATGGGATAAGAAAATAATCACAAGCTTCACGAAGATCTTGAATACTAACTGACGGTGGACATCGAATGGTTCCAATACTGTAGAAATCCTAAAATATTCTTTTCTTAAAAAGAAAACAAAATAACCAAAAGAAGAATTATTTACTAGTAATGCTCGAAATATTGTGGCTGAAATTCCATTAGCTATTTCATATTCTCCACGTTGATTTGGTATCAATGATGTTTCCCATGACGAACTAAACATACGTCCGAGCATCGTATTCGTATGTGCGCGAAATAATTGTGGATCAATAACAAAGCGTGTTTCATCGACAACAAGTGTTACACGATCCGAATTGTGCGCTGCTGTTGAAACAATCGTTTGTTCTTGATACTTTTTATTTATGATTGTTCGATTTGGGCTGGGCCGATTTTCTTCATTATGACGAACATCAACAGTTACATTAAATGATTGCACAGTTTTATGTCGACTACGTGAATGATAATGATGATTACTTGGAGCACCAATTGTAACAGACGATAAATCATGTGGTGTAGGTGAGACAGATTTAGATCTGGCACGTAATTTATGAGGCTTCATAGGATGCTGTGGAATTTGTAATTCAGGACTTGTTGAGCCTAGACAAAGAAAAAGAAATTATACTTATGAGATAGAAGACAAAATCATGTCAGTGTGGGTTGTGTTTTTCGTACCACTAGGAACTTTGAGGATGCCATGTGTTGGCTGTTCATTGATGCGTGCTATAAAATGATTTTGTAATTCTTCATCACTTGTTGACGTTCTATGTACCAGACATGGTTTCATTTTATTACTTAAACGTTTGGTGCTAGAAAAAGTTCATTTTTTTTATTTTTAAACTGCTATTTTGAATTTTCTTATTAATATTACCCTCGATGTTTCGAAGATAAATTTGTTGAGGATGATATGTCATTAGTGTTATTGGCTTCATCTTTTGGAGAATCAGAGTCATATCGTATATCATCGTCAGTATCTGTGCTACACTGTAAAAAAGGGGGCAGAACAATGAACGCTTGCCCTTGATTTTTTTTCTATAAACCCTTGAAGGGTTATGTGCACTAGGGGTGGTCATTTAGTATTACTTTACTAAATAAAGATAAATGATAAATTGTTTTTTAATCATTTCCTATTATCTTCTAAAGAAAAATGATCCATCTATGTTTACGAAACTAAATTATAGATGGTTTTTCAATCATTTACGTTTATTTTCTAAAGATAAAGGATTCATTTATCTTTATCCTTTAGTATAAAGGAAAATAAAGATAAAGGGTTGTAACGATATAAGAAAGTTTTATCGTGATATCGAACTGTTTTATTTCAATCATCCTTCTCCTTTTATAGTTACACTTACTTTCTCCGGGGTGCGTCACTCAACCGGAGAGAACGGGGAAGAACACGACAAAGAGGAAGAGAGAATACACATGACAATGCGGAAGAGAGAATACACATGACAATGTGGAAGAGAGGATACACATGACAATGCGGAAGAGAGAATACACATGGCAATGCGGAAGAGAGGATACACATGACAATGCGGAAGAGAGTTGTTATATATATTGATTAGGATAGAACGAGTGCTTATATCGGCACAAGGGTCACCCCTAGTTCTAATATGATTGCAGATCAATTTTTGCGCACAAGATACAAATGTTGTATCTTGACTTAAATAGTCAGATACTATAACGATGTCAATAATCTAAAAAAAGAAAGCATTTGAAGTTGGTCGATCACGATTTATATTAATTTAGAAGTAATCGAACTTCGCTGTTCGTTCTGATTTGAATAGGGAATAATGCAGCTTGTTTAGTTGACCAATGTTTACTCATTACCTCATTTTGTACTTCCAGAGTCTAGGATATACGAAGAATTTGTTTATGATAAGGATTCAGAAGAAATGAAAGTAGTCAGATTTTGGATATTAAAGTTAGGTTGACGAAACTCACGTAATTTTCGGCGAAGTCCATATGAACAAGAGCTGTATCAGATGCAAGTGACTGTTTTAAATTACGAATGTACTCGAATTGAGCATTTGTTATGTTGGAATGCATAATAAACTTTGACCACTGATGGTTCATTTCGATCAAAAGATCACTGACTGACCCGCTTAATCGATAAATATCTATTTTCCCATTAACATTTGCCCATTTCATCCAATTCACTTCTTCATCCATATCAATTCCAGGATATAATGTTGGTATTTCAGTCGATGGAACTTTGATTCTACACGATTAGCAATTACCATACATACACGACCTATTTTCTCGAGAGCAAACAATTTCTTCTATTAAACTGTTTTATTTAATTGATTCTTGTATAACGGTGGAAAACGCCTGAAAAGAAATGCATTTAAATTCTAATACTGTACCTTCGTTCAAACAAGTATTCTCTTACCATGAAGAGCAGTCGAAAATTTTTCGTGAAAATGGCACAGACATATGTTCTTTTTGATAGATAATTTTACCCACTTAGGTTTCAGATAGCAGAATTTGGTGTAGCCAATCTTTATATCTTCATTATCTCTATATTCGTGCTTAAAAGAAAATTGGCGAAAATTTCCACAGATAGTGATTATTGGCAAAAATGTAAATTCTGCTACATACTTTAAATAATTCGAATGCCTCCTGTAAAGACACCACCATATATCTACAGCATACAGGTTTCTTCTTACCATTGTTTTGCTTGACATTGATTGTGCCCTTTGTATTGGACGAGCAGCGACTAATTACGTCATCTAACAGCATGAAATATTTAGAATTTCAGTTGTTTATTTAATGCTATAACTATAAATTTACCCTCATAGTAAGCCAGAACCGTTTGAATTGTCAATGGAGATATTTGATCACGGTCTTGGCTATTTTCATAGCCTGCTAGAACCCCAATTGATTCACACAATTCGATCGCCATACGACCTACCCACTCAGTAACCGAAAAATGTTTCGAAATATCACGCCTACCCCAAGTCGGCGGGCACAATGTAAGCAAACGAATACGCTCGGAATGATCGCTCATAAGTACTAGTTTCTGAAAGCCGATCACCAAGTGTTCCATATCTTCGTAGCTGATGTTATTTTCGAGTGTTGTCTCGTTTGTGGAACTACTACTTGAACTTTTGAAAGAATTTGATAAAGCTTTCGTATTTTTCAGAAGTATTTGACATTTTTCATGTAACACATTTGCGTTTCGTCTAAAAAATTGAATTGAACAAGAGCATAGAAATTTTCAAATGCTATACTGATATAAACGTACGTGTCTTTGATAGGAGACAGATCGAATACATCTAATAAGCCATTTAATTTATTTTTATCTGACTTAGATTTAAAATCGCACGTTGTTTCAACATCTGACGGTGATGACATATCTGTTAACGAGATATTATGGATGGAATCGATTATTGATTGTTTGCCAGTCACAAGTGGTGTACTATGCAAAAATAATGATCGTGACGTGTCAATCGGATCGCCTAATGATATTGATGATCTTCTTATATTTTTATGAACCGGTGGATGTGTTATTAAACCAGCTAATGGTGCACTTTGCCTAAACTCCTCTTCCGACGAATGCACTCTGGTATTCTTCTTACTGGATGTTCGCCGTTGTTCTCTTGCAAAACATGTTTCACATAATAAACTATTTTCCTTGACAACTAATAACTTCTCTTTGTATCGCTTGCGAAAATATCTATTCATTTTGGCAGCCACCTGAGCCGTGATTCGTCTCTTTCCTTGAGGTACTGACGACAAAAATCGCTCCTCGTACATGACGAGGATGAGCAGTAGGGTGACTACAATTAGTCATCTATAAAATGTATCTACAAAAAAGAACGCATATTAATGCATAACAGAACCCCGTCCATTCATTGAAAACAAAAGCAATTGCTTTTTCTTCAATGTACATCATGATATTTACAAATAGAAATCCAAGCCGTGGACTATTTTCGCTGATGCTGATAGCTGGTAGTCGGTATTTTTTCTAGAGTCAACGTATTCAAAAGTCTCCGGTTTACACCTCTGTATACAAATAGCCTATACTCTAAAAACTCACATACTACTTAAAAGCTATATGTTCCTTTACGGTTTTATAAATTTTTCTCTATATATTAGAAATCTCTTCCATCAGTCAGGCGTTTATATTAGTCTATTCGTATTCAGCATAAAAAATTACCTAATATGCATCCTTGAAATGATTATTTTCACAATCATAATCGGAAAACCTTACAGTATAACATTTCGAAATTTTAAGAAATTCTAGCCATCATAAGTTTTACAATTCTAGGATGGGGGAGTTGATATTTTAGCGAGTGGTAGTACTTACTAAAGACTACTGACAAAAAAGATTTGAACGAATTCTGGCGTGTGGTTCTCGAGAAAATGAAGGGCTAACATAGGGTTTCCAGAAATCTCTAGTTTTTTAAAGTCGAATATCTCAACTAAGGAATATATTCTGAAAAAATAATCCAGTTATTTCGAACTACCGTTACTTAAGCTTCATTTTGGTTCTAATAAATCATGGTGTCTAGGGTCACATGGAGGTTTTCTAGAGTACTCAGTTTTAGCAAAAATCGCATTTTTCCGGTTTTTGTAGGTACGCTGGCGCTGCGAGATTTTTATGTACACACCCGAAAATTATTGCATAGTGACAACTTTTTATGCTCTATCCAGTGGCCTAATTACAATTTTCAGACCGTGTTCACGAAAACCGAAACTTGTGGGTTTAGGGGACCGAACTTTTAGAAAATCGGTTATTGAGCCCTACCTGTAGGACTTAGCGCATGACTTTTCTAAAAACAATAGATGGTTTCGTACACAAGTCGATACGAGCTACAAAACTAGCTTGGTTAAATATTGCCTGCGAAAGGTTGATGTAAAACTGGGCGGACCTGCGTGAAAGCACCCAGATACTTTTTTACTTATATATTTATTCTTTATCGTTTTCTTTACGATTTTTACATTGCATTTGCCTTGAAAAACAATAAACCTATAGAATAAGTTATGTCATAACTTCATCGACCGGAAAATGAGCGTTATCTCATGAAACAATTATCAGCTATACGATCGTAGAGATAGAATTCAAAAAAAATACAGAGAAAAGTAATTTGAAGTGAATCATCTAACTTGCGCAAGTATGCTTGATTAACAAGATTCACATTAGGAATACCAAGCACACAAACGATTTTTTCCCCGGCCTTATATCATGAAATAAATCCACGGTAACTATCATAATAGCAAACATGTTTTTTCACTTCACAATCATCGGATCACAATTGACAAAAGCCGATTACCATCAAAAAATAATAGAAACATATAGTCTATTTACAATTATCACAAGAAAATGTATCATTGGTAAGTACAATGATAATATTAGCTTTTTTCTCATTTTATGTTAATCTAAACAGAGAACAACAACAATTGTAAGTATATGACTGATAAAACTAATTCTTCTCTATTTAGATTTATCACAACAAAATGTATCATTAGCAAGTACAATGATAATATTAGAATTTTTCTCGTTTTAGGTAAATCCGAACAGAGAAAAAAAAATTGTGAGTTTGAAGAGATGAAAATACTTTGCTGATTGTTAGGATGTGAATCGGTCTTTTTTTATCAGTTGACGATGATCCATATTCACACACTGCTCTTGATTATTGTAAACCAAAAATCTAAACGGTGAACCATTTAGATATAGGTTAAGGATTTAGGTTAAGGGTTACATATAGAATAAGGGTCAGGTATAAAATAAGGGTTAGGTATAGAATAAGGGTTAGATGTAGAATAAGGATATAGATTAAGGGTTAGATATAGAATAAGGATATAGATTAAGGGTTAGATATAGAATAAGGGCTAGATGTAGAGTAAGAGGTTAACATAGGGTATACATTTAAAATTTAAGATATAAATTAAGGAATGAACTTGTTAACAAAGGGATAGTTGCCTGAATTGTAATGGAAGCGTGAATGGTAGTATTAGTGCAAACGCAAAGGCATTGCAGTCGAATGGAGAGGTTATTTGAGGTACGAAACCATTTTGAATACTAACTGGGAACGGTTCCATACGAAACCATATTTATACAAAACCGAAAAAAGGTTTAGATTTCGTTGCAAATCTCGGAACCTTTTTTAAGTTCCGTATGGAACTTTTTTTTTCAGTGTAAAAGGTACCTAAAAGTACTTTTAAGTACTCTAGTACCAGAAAGTTCCTCAGACATACTAGTAGCAGGGTACTTTTTCGGGTACCCTTTGTTCAGTACATGCCCTAGGGTGGTTATCGTTTTATTTTAATAATAACAAATACGCTACCAAAGAAAATAGAGATTGAAACTTATTAATTTTTTCTGTTAATTTTTTAAATTAATGATGAGTATCACGATTCTCTGATCGTGTATCTCGTAAATGTTCTTGTGTATTTTGCAATTCTTGATTTATACGACGTAATGAAACTTCTTCACCGTCATCGATAACTTCTTCGCCATCAGAAGGTATTGGTGAGCTTACTTTAAAACTATAAAATGAACTCTATTAAAATAGTAATATAATCTAAAAGTCTATCTGTTGTTACACGACGTTGGGTACGAAAACAAGATGGATCATCGAATGTACGAGTTATTAAATTACTTGGAAGATTTTCCTGATTTGGGCGTTTTGGTGATGAAACTAAGATATTCAAAATAAATTCGAAAACATATGATAGAATTTTGCGACTGATAAATACTAGAAAAAATAGAATCAGGTGAGTTTGAACGATTTATTAATGCTCTTTTACGCCGAATTGGAGCAGCTAAGATAAATATTCAGTCTCGCAAGATCATTTTTGCAATTAATAAAATACTCACGTGTTAAAAACGTATTTGATGGCATTTGCAGTGTTTATTTCATTAAATCAGGTACAATGCCATTTTTATCATCAGATTCATCTGAATTATCTGAAGTCAATAAAAAAACTGAAATTCATTAAAACTTGGGATATGGATTTCCTACTAATTGATGAAAATGTATGATTATTCCAGTATTCCATACATTTCTCTTTTGTGCCTAAATTATAACCATGTTTATTTTTTTATTTAGTAATTCCATATTCTAAAATGAAAAGTTATTACCTGATGCAATAATTTTTGCTGTATGACCATCATTCAGCACTGCTTTATTATCATTGACAAATCGTTTAATACCTGAATGACCAACGATCATCATTTGTTTCGTATCATTGCCAAAGGTCAAGTGATAAGTGGTTGCTGTTGTTGGATTCGATGGTGAGTATTGTGTTTTTGGTTTTATTGATCGTTTTTTTAACTATTTGTGAATCATTGTTGGTGATCGTTGACACTAATAAAACAACAATCTGAAATGAAAGGTTCAAGTAAATGATGACATATTTTGTTATGTCAGGAGAGATATCTCCTGACATAAGGAGACTCCATGTTGGTATGATATCATCACTGTACATCAATGGCATTCTTACTCCTCTTTCTCAATGGCTCTTTCATCATGGATAACGGACGATAACGAATGGAATAAGAGAAAGAGAGAGAATTACATTCTTTGTTGCTTTTTTTGTTTGTAGATTCATTCGCTTGTTTGGTTTTGAAAAGAAAGGAATAAGAATAATAAAGAAAACGGGAAAAGGACCTAACATATTTGTTCAATTTAGTGGACAAGATAAATAGCGAAGAAAAATAAAATATAAAACGGTAGAATTTGACTTAACAGAAAATAGCTTTCCAGAACGTAATATTTGGTTGCACCAAAGTAAATCTAACAAAAGAAAAGAAAACTTCTCTATTGCCAGCAACGGCTAATCATGTTCACTATATGATGAAATATTTGCAACAAACAAGTAATCGATTTTTCTACGACAATACAATGATTGTTGATATAATCAGTTCGAACAACGTCTATTTGACATGGGTCTTTCTGTAAAATAAAATACATGGAATCTAATGACTTTTTTAATAAATGATATAGCAAGAACTTTTGAAAAAGTTACTGCACAATTCTTGAATACGATGATGCTTAATAATTGCATAGCTAACACTATTACAAACAAAAAATAATTCAATAATGCCAAAGCGGTATTCGATAGCATCATTAGCCAATGAATATTGTGCAAAATAGCTAACAGAAGTTTGCCTTCTATTATATATTAAAGAATGAAATATTTCATTTTTCATAATAAATTGACGATAAATTAAACAACATGAACTCAAATCATTACGCATACATAAAGAAGAATGAATTTGGTTCATATAATCATAATCGTTTGTTGTAGTAAAAGATAAATCATGAGGTCCATCGATAGTTGCCTTTCGTATTTTTTTTCTTTGAATGCAAAGGTCAATATTATAATAATAAGTTATTGAATCTCTATAATAGCGAGTGCCGTGATGCTCACTACTTATAGCTCCAATGAAACTTTCTTGGCCAAAACAACCTAAATTGCATAATGAGTCGTGTGTTTCATACATATATGAATAATGAGCATGTAGATGCAATTTAAGAGGTTGTAACTTATCATAAAACAATTCATGATCTACATAAAATCTAGAAAAGATACGATCAGCAATTTTATTTGTTTTGTTACCAAATATATGGCCACTATGAAGCAAGCGTATAACAATAACATATAATACAAGATGGGCATATTGTTCACTTGACAATAACAAATTCATGTGTGGTAATAATCTGTAAAAAAGTAAATTCCTAACATCTGCACCTTTCACAAATGCAAAATTATCCATCGATCTTATTTTTCTATTAAAAAAGTCTAAAAATAAAAAAATTGGATGAATTCAAATTAAAAGGTTGCAATTAAAAATTGCATACTACTAACGAGGAAAATTTTGATTTCTTAATTGAATGTTAAGTTGTTCACGTTGTATTGGCTTTAACTGACGATATATGGATAGTATTATTGCTTTGGCATGACCTAGAAGAGTCACATGTAAATAGCCTATAACGACTGCGTTTGATAACGGCAGATCCAAAATATCATCGAGCATAGTTTTTCCTGAATGACCATAAATGTTGTTTTTTATGTTCAGCTTTCTTCGATCCTTTCGAATATTGTTCTGCCGTTCGTAAAATGAGTGATGAATAACGATATTGACGTTTGTGACCAATATGTTCTCTTTTAATGAAACAGAACCAGCAGCAATAATAACCATTATGATTAATAAAATTGCAAATTAAACTGATGGTCGGACAATCTCCAGTGATACCAAATATGATTAATTTATGATTTTTGTTCATTAAATTAATACCTATAATTGTAAAAATATAATATTTTACGAATAAAAGCTGCTTTTTATTTCATATAATAGAAAATAAAAATTGACTAAAGATGCATATCCTTTAGTGTATGTTACCTTCTCTTCTTACATCTTCAGAGTTTAGTATCTCAGGAACATCTAACTCCATTTCAAAGAAAAATTTAGGAATGAGAATTAGGGGTGGAACATTTTATTTAACGCGAGCTAATTAACGCCGTTAATTAACTAAAAGCGTTAATTTTAACATTAACGGTTTTTAGTTAACCGTTAATTAACTCATTAACGTATAAAAGTAATCTTATATCATTTAATTTTGAATTTTTCCATAAAAAGATCAACATTCACACAATAACCATTTTCATATTTTAGATGAGGATACCCAGTATGGTATACGAATCGAAATCATATCTATATTGATTCAATCTTATCTAACAAGACATTCTTGAATTCGCATAGGGGTTTTAAAATATCATCGTTGTAAGGAAAAGTCAGGATGAAGTAACCTTTTGTTTCCACTAATGAGATTGAATCAATATAGATATAATTTCAATTCGTAGCTCATATTGGCATCCTTATCTAAAATATGGAAATAGTTATTGTGTGAATGTTGATCTTTTTATGGAAAATTCAAAATTAAACGATATAAAATTAATTTAAAATTAACGTTAACGTACCACCCCTAACAAAAAGACATGGTGTTCGAAAAGGAGTTCATAAATAAAATACAGCAAAAATGCCACTGGATGACGCAAATAAATTACAAAGTAATTCAGATTAGTCGATTCCAAAGTAATTCTGTGTTGAACAATAACCAGTATAGCTCTTATGGGGACTACCACGGAGAATCAGGGTCTGCTATAGGGAATCGGGGTCTGCCATGGTGTGGGTGTCCCGTAGGGTATACACAACAAGAGCACACACACACATCATACATGATAGTGTGGGTGTGATGAAGGGTGTACACAGCGAGAACACACACATCACAGCCCACATATTTTTAGGACCTTAGTAGACCCTGATAGGACCTGGTGGACCCTGCCAGGCTCTGCTAGACTGTGGTAGATCCTGTTAGACTCCGATTCTCTATGGCAGACCCTGATTACCAATGGCAGACCCTGATTACCAATGGCAGACTCTGACTACGTTACATTTTTGAATTATTTTGTAATTCATTTGTGCCATGAAGTCAAAAATGCAGGGTGCTCGGAATGAAGCCTGTGAAGGAGTTCAGAATCAATTCTGACAATAGCTTTTTCAAAGATTACATCCTATGAAAAGGCTATTGTCAGAATTGATTGCGAACTCCAATCAAATATTGCTGTTTACGAACATCAAAATTTGGCTGGAGATCGTAAACAGAACGTCCAGGTGTTCGTAATGACAAAGACAGAGAGATCGTAATAAAAAACGACACGATTTTTGTAAGTATCTTCAGTTTCAGGTTGGTTCACCTATGAGAGAATATGAAGTGATACGTTGGAGTCCCAATATAAAAGCATGCATAAAGCGAAGGTTCCGGTAAATTCAAGCAATTACGATTGCATTTCTGTTTACTATTATAACTCTAGTTTTAGTGAGTTTTCTCCTTATTCATTCAATACATTCTCTATTACAAATACCAGTTCTATTGAAAGAAAAGAAATACATATTTATTCGTGACTCTAGTGTTAATGTACATCATCATTCTATTTATCCATCGATGAATGTACACGCTTTTTGAATCTAGTTATTTGTTTACTTTTCGATATTGTAGCAATGAGACCAGGTTGAATTGATGATGTGCAAGATGAAGAAGTAGTAGTAGTAGTATGATCGTTGGGTATAACTCTAAGAAGATTCGATATGGGAGTTGAACGCAAATAAGATGCAAGAGTAGCCTGCTCGGTTGTTGCTTTCGACAACTGTTGTTTTTTAATCAACTTATACCCTTAGGAACAACTTCTAAAACTATAGCCAAAGGAGTATAGATAGAGAAAGAATAATTGTCTACTTATATAAACCTGCATGTAATCAAAAAATGTAAGCTATTATATTATTGCCTATAAGGACAGAAAGTCTTTATTTCAGTTACAATGTCCTTATCAATTCTTTTACGAACTCCATGTTAAATTACCCTTAGAATTAACTTCCGAACAGCCGACGGTATTCATTACGATCTTCAGGTGTTACATTAAATATAGCAAACATACTATATTTCGAACATCCGGTAAACACATTACGATCTTTCTGCTGCCTATTACGATCTCCGGTGCATAGGTGTTCACGAACTATCGTCATAAATTTTTATGAATAAAAATCATTTCTGAACATCCGGTCACATTTCCCAGTGTTCGTAAGAGGTGAGACGAAAGCTAATTCACCCGAAAAATTTGGGAGCAATAAAATTTCAATTGATATACAGGAAGAATTCTAATTTACAATATTTAATTTAAAATATTTAGTTATATAAAATTGGAATTTAAAGAAATAGAAATAACTTATTGTATGATATTTATAAAATTTCTTTTATGAAAATGAAATAAAGATCAAATTAAACTACTTTACATTTAAAAACATTTTTTATAGGAATGAAATTGCAATCTTATTTAAAAGTTAACATATAGCAATTTTATTCTGAACATGGTCGCAGATCGCAGCTCATATAATAGTCGAATTGATTTAAATTACAGTCAAAATTTTGCGCATCGGTTTTCAAACTAGCACATCAATTTTATTTTATTTGTTTGTTTTTTATATCTGTGAAAAAAACATTTTTTATGTTTTTATTGTACGCTGTAAGTATAATTTAATGCAGAGCCCTGATGAGCGTTTTAAAATTATAATAAATAACACGAAACGCGTCGGCAAATTAAACTCTGCATTTTTTAATGATTTTTTTATGTCAAACACAATAACTTGTTGTTTTAGCACATTCATTTAACTTTGAGAAAACAATCGATTACTGAAAAGCAAGAGTTGAGAATAGCAGATTAGCTTTTATCTATTCTTTCAATATAGATAGATCAGCCTGTTTTTTTATTTAAGTAATACTATTGTCGCTTTTTTTTAGAGTAATATATTCTTATATTGATTATTGAATGGGGATAGATGGATCACGCTTAACAGATATTGATGTTTTTATTATCGATTTGTGCTTAATTAACTCGGATGAATAAATAAAGATTGAGTACTGAACAAATAGAGATCCGACATCAGTGAAAATGAGCTACAGAAACGAGGTCACTCCGTCTTTATCGAACCGTGCACTACATATATTAATAATTGACGATTATGTCTAATCTTATAGTATGTAAATGAGATATTTGCACAGAAAATATGAAATAACATGATCATTGCCCAGGTCAATGATTCCGGAGGACGGATACTGTAGGAACCGGCCGGAAAGATGCGGAAAAATCACCGTATCTGGCCGGAAAGCATGGGAAAGCACTGGAAACTGGAAGCAGTATTCCAGTNTACAGGAAGAAAATCCGGTAACTTCCAACTGGAATACTGCTTCCAGTTTCCAGCGCTTTCCTGTGCTTTCCGGCCGTTTCCCGCCGTACGTCCACGACCTGGGTGATACCCAGATCAATGATTCTAGAGGACGGATACTGTAGGAACCGGCCGAAAAGATGCGGAAAAACCACCGTATCTAGCCAAAAAGCACGGGAACGCGCTGAAAAGTGGAAGCAGTATTCCGGTCAGGAGTTGCTGGGTTTTTTTCCGGTGCATTCCGGCCAACTTCCATCCGGAAATCACAGAAAACTGACCGGAACCCGCAGGAAAATAATCCGGCTATTTCCGACCGGAGTACTACTTCCACTTTCCAGCGCTTTCCTGTGCTTTCCGGCCGTTTCCCGCCGTACCCCCGCGACCTGGGTAGATATAATCAATGAAAAATTTTAATAACTGTATTGTTGTATGCTATCTAATTCAGTATAATATATATAAAATCTTTTCCAAGCAAGTGTGAACCTCAACTATTGATAATTGAGATCAATTAGCATTCAGAAGTGACTTTTTCCTTGTAAAATTATGTTTACTTAATGCCCAATGAAGTACCATTCTTTCAGAAAAGGACCAGCTAATCTGAAGGATGAGCGTTATCTGCTTATCTTTTGTTCGTCATTCAACACCGCTAATTATTAATTTTTTTTGTTGAATATTTAGTTTAACTTAACCTTTTGAAATATATCTATTCAATCAATTCATTTATTTGATGAATATGATTAATAGAAAGGTACGCCACCTTTCGCTCCCTCATCAGTACATTTTTCATTGATCGAAATAAATGAACCAATTAAATATCTTTTTGTTTCTTTCTTTCGTTCTCGCGATTCGCGAAATTACTATCTTTTTTATTTTTTTTATCTGAAATATCCAAAATTATGGTTCTCAGGAAATTTTTAAAAATAAAGTCATTAAAAAGACTGAACTATTCCATAATACATCTACACCTGCTGTCTTTTCTGGACTGATATTTAGATACTCCTGTGGGAATAATATAAGACAAAAGGGGTGACATGGTCTCTACTGAAACAAAACCACAATAGTGAATTAAGTCAGCTGAAGGGTTTTTTTTGTTATTATAGATGATCTCAAGTTCAATAACCGATATTGAAAGTCTATCCAAGTTATTCGATAAACAAACAGATTTAACAACAAAAACGACCGATGATCCAACAGAAAATGACAATGCAATCTTGTAAATATATTTATTTTTTGTTTTTTTAATGCCGAAGAATTATCAATGAGACCAACACCAATTAATTAATCCACTAAAATTTATTTATTCTTTTACTATTACAAAATAAAAATTACTCTGATATTTTTATTTGTAGTTTCTTTCGCTTATGTGATATTTTTCTATTTGCCTGTAACTTTATAGTAATAGTCGATCAAATCGACCGCTGACTGTTTCAACTCTTGCACATTATTTTGGTCTTCAATGTGATGAATTTCTTCGTTTATCTCTGAACTCTCAAATTGAATCGAATAATGCTGATAATTTCAAAAACGTTTTAACGAAGCGTCGTGGAATTTTATTTGAGGCCGATATAAAAGCCTATTATTCGAAATCAATCTTATCGAATATTCATGATGAATATGATTTTCTATCTTATCTTCAATCATCAATATCTTCTCCTACTGAAACTCGAATTGCTTATAATGTAAAGTTTCATTGGACATATGATAAAAATCTTGAAAGTAATTATAAACCTGACTTTTTATTAGTCAAACATTTAACTAATAATGAAAATCGAATCCAAATAACAATCGCTGATGCCAAGTCGTCGTCTCATATGCGCATTGAGCATTGTGTTCAAGTGGCACTTTATGGAATAGATTTGCGAATCTGGATAGAAAGAAATAAACTTGATGCACATGTGTTTATAAATGATATTGGAGAAGTTTGGTTGCCCAGCGGAAACGTATTAATGCCTTATGAAAAAAAGACTTTTCCAATGACTAAACTACAAGAAAGACTTGAAAGTTTTCTTAAATATGATCTGACGAAAATTTTACATGGTAAAATGGTGTTAAAAAGCTTAGATGTAAAAGAATTTTTGATTAATTTTAGGTTCCGAATGGAAAATGCTACCACGATGTTCACATTGCTCATATTCACCTCGTTGTCGTCAAAGAGCTATTTATCATGAGCCAGAATCAATAAATAATTTATCTTATTTACCATCATCAGCTCATTCATTAATTTATTCGCTTTTTCATTCAACATTGATTTCATCAATTGATCTTAATCATCTTCTTGATCAGTCAAATAAAGATAGTTGTTTTTCAGATGATAAAACAAAACTTCAAAACATTTTATCCATCAATTCTGAAGATAAAACAAGCGCTGCTATTAAAGCTCTTGAAAACCATGAACCACAGTTAAAACAGCAAACGTCACTTTTAATACCGAAAAAAAATAAAGATTTAATTCTTATTTTCATTTTCTTGATACCTAATCCATCTCAACTACATTCTGTAGCACTTCTTGCTTGTAATGTATTTAACACTTATAATCAATCATGGTTTTACTCTAAACCATTTATTCAATTGTATCCGTCACCATATCAAATTGTTTCAGTGATTTCTCAATCGTTAGAACTGGCAAAAAAAAGTGAACGTCCTTGTCAGATAATACTTTTTGACGAGCAAGAAAAAATCATTTTATTTGAACAATTAACAATTGCATCAGATAGTGAATACATTGATCAATGTCTAATTTTACTAAGTTCATCAGAGAATGCTATTTTACTTGATTATCCACCAGATATCATTCAAACAGATAGGTTTTTTCGTTCGCATCCATTATCAAACACACCAAAACATGAAATTGAAGAAGAATTATATGAACGTTACGGCTCATTGGGTGGGAATAGTAATGAAAGACCTACGAAAACACAATTAGCTCAACATTTAAGACTATTGAATGGAATCGAACAAGAAAAGGCGCGAAAAATGCTTATTGGCTTACCTTGCCTTATTTGTTTACATACAGGTAGGTTTATTTAAGGAAAATGAGTTTTTAGCTTTCTGTGATTTTAGCTATTCGACAATCATTTGTTGTTCCGATGCCGGCTTATTTTGACTTGGAAGATCTTAAATATTCATTCAACATTGCATTGCCTTCCTTCAATCCTAATGAGTTATTGGAATCGATTCAAAAGCCAGGTATTGCCAACTTAAAAAATATACTTCATTGCTTTGAGCACTATTGAAGAACAGAAGTAGAAAAAAATCTTCATTTTTCAGCCATAACAACGATTGTTTACCCTGGTTGATATATTAATCAAACACATGATGTTTCTCGAACTTTTTCTGTAAAAAAAGTAACCAAACATCCTAACATCCTAACCCACCCAGGTCAAACAATCGTATTGTGAGATCTGATCTTATATGATCTTGTACGATCTTGTACTATCATTCAAAAATCATACAAAAAATCGTAGTTCCTGAGATCTTAGATCAAGTCGCACAATCACGTTTTTGAAAGATCTTACACATTAATAAGATCTTTCAAAAACCTGATTGTGCGACTTGATCTAAGATCTCAGGGACTACGATTTTTTGTCATATTCTTGTAACATTTCACCCATATTCCAAGATCTTGTGTCAGATTTTTCGATCTGGGAACGTATGGGAATGAAAATACTGCGCTTTGCAAAAGCATAATAGAGTTTTGCAAAATTTTATCCGACCTCAAATCCTTTTGGTGTTTTGTAGGTTCTGCTGGACGTTTTTTAGATTACGCAAAAGTTTCAAGACCACCAATTTTTTCAGAGTGGTAGTTATTGTACGATTACTGATGTTTGTAAGCGTCCTAATGCAATACTGAGTAACTGAATATAGTTTTTTAGCAGTTTTTTATTTAAAATTAAAAAGTCGATTTTATTGAGTACCAGGAATGAATAGGATCACTAGAATTGAAGAAAACTTTAAAAAGGAGAAATACTGGTAGAAGAATTCCTAATTCAGAGAAAAAAACTGTTAGCGCAATCTGTCTGGGATTAAAAATGTGAAACAAGACATAATCACTGCAGAAAATTACATAGAGATGGTGTATTCAAGGGAGTTCTTTGTTGATTTTGTGAGACAACTCGTTTGCTGCTATCAGTGATAATCTGCGCAAGGCTAGAACAGCATCTCTGATGGTCTGTGCTAAGTCTGAAGATTCTCTGGTACAATGTGTGATGGTCTCTGAAGATCTTGTGTAACAGTCTGTGATGGGCACTCAATTCATATGATACTAATTAGTCAATTAATTAAAGCGTATGTCACGATCTGTAGTAATTTCTGAAGACCGTTTGTCACTGCCTGTGTGCCCAATGAAGTAATTGCATAGAAATTAGCTAATTAACGAAGCAATTGAGACGTCGGCCACGGTTTCTGACGGTCTTGTAACCTGTCGGTAATGGTCTGCGATGGGAAAATTACTTGTCGGTAACTGTCTGTGGGGAGGCGGGGTATGGGTGCAAAATTTCTACCCTAAACACTTCAACGCTCCTTTCAGGTCGTGTTTCACAAAACTAGTTTAAGATTTTGAGGTGTAGGTTGATTTGGACTAGATTTAATAATTCTATGAACGTAATAAAAAACCTATCAAATTCTGTTAGCTTTCTTGGTTTAAAGTTTGACAAGGACTTAAGATTCCTAAGTGTTTTGATTAAGCCCCAATAAATCTTATCGATACAAGGAAAGCTTATTAGATCATTGAATACTTTCTTGTTATTCGACAGTTCGTGGCATTAAATATATTCCAGAAACTCCTGAGATTTCCGATATACTTTTCGATTGTTTTCCTTTTTTTGCGAATGGATGGCAATGTATAGGGGTGGCAATTTAACTTTAAATTGACCGTAAAGTGCAAAGTTTAAAGCTGTTTAAACTCACCCTTAAATGCTTCTTTTTGGTGTTTTATCTGTTGCAGAGAGTCTTATAAGCATGACTAAATACGTCAGTACAGTAAAAGTATTAAAAAGAAGCGTTCTAAAAGCGACTTTGAACAACTTTAAACTTTAAACTTTACGGTTAAATTGAAGTTAAAGTACCACTCCTGGTCACAAACTTTCAACAATTCAAGTTTTGAAGAGTAAAATTAGAACTTCTAGAAAACCTGAAGCAAAACAAAAGCTAAAATAAAAATCATTGTTTTCGTGTACTCTGATTAATGATTGTGTTTAATCATTGAAAAATGATAAAATTGATGTTTCTAACTAGTATTTTCGATAATCAACACAGTCATTTTTTTTGGAGAATGTCCAATCGTTGGTATTTTTATTAGAAACCGGATTTTATTTCATTGTATGCAATGTAAATTGCAAAATAAAATCGACAAGGACTTGTATAAGAGTTTTATTTAATAGATGACATGCTTATAATTATATACAAGCCAATAAAAGAAGGAGTTTTCGTGTTTCATACCAAAACTGCTCATAGAAAATATATTATAAAAGAGTTCGTCGGAAAGTTTACTTTATATTAAAGATCATTACGCTGAAATCTAAAAATCGTGTATCGTTTGAAGTTTTTTGGAAGTATCTTAACTGTATAAAATAGGAGAGTCGTGAATAATCCAGTATCGTGATCTAGTCAGGGATCCTCAGTGACGATCACTATTCTTATTGGTAACTGTTTCTCCAATTGTTGGTCTACCGGTAACAAGCTTGTGTCCATGTAAAACTGAGACGCACGTAAAACGCGTTTTGGAGCGTTTTAAACGCGCCTACACGCGATTATGTTACTAAATTGGAGAGAATAGCGTTCAGACGCGTTTCCAAAGACGCACCTAGATGCATTTGAGTTCGTAATCGCGTTCAATCGTGTCCCAAATACGCGTCTGAATGTGTTTGGACAAACAGCCACGTTTAGGCGCACGTGCAGATGAAACGCGTTTCATAATATTACAGGAGAGAAAGGCAGTCGAACGCATCTCGAGTTACGATTGCTTTCACTCGCGTTTTCAAGATGCATTTGAACGCGTTCTGATTAAGAGTCGCATCCTGACGCACCTAAAACTGAAATAAGTGCCAGAATTGTGAAAATAAATATAAGATTGCACGCTTCTTTATTATGATCGCGTGTAGACTCATGCATATAAGGTCAGGGTCGTTTCTTGTGCAATGCCTTTCAAATGTTATAATCGTTTCTATTAAAGCTATATCCTCTAAATCAGTTACTACATATTTGTCAATGTAGCAGCAAATAATTTGGATGAGTGTAGCAATGAATTTTGACAATATTGTTTAGCTTCTTATTCTAGAAAAATGAAAATGATAAATTTTAATTAAGCTTATGAGAACAAGATTATGCAAAGCTATATTGTGTATTTTATCGATTTCACGATTGCCACATCCATTTATTTTCAGTCTGAAACATGTATGAAAAATACATACGTATGTTTATAGCTATATTCTAGTTTGGATAACTTTGCTACTTTTTCCCTTTTCTTTTCAAATTTACACTTATATTCCTTTATTATTGAGATTTAGAAACTTTTCTATTTTTCTATTGTATATTGAAACGCTGGAAGAATAGAAAATACTTCTTTTCATTACCTCGATATGCTGATATTATTTATGTAATATTTTTGACACAGTGAGATCGTTGCATAATCTAAAAATTTCTGGTCATTCTAAATTAAAAGAATTTACTCTTTCGAAATAAAATAACTGAAAAACAATTACGAAAACAAATAATAAGATTATATGCTGATTGTTAATAGTTTTTCAAATTAAATTAGTTCATATTGATATTGCATATCTTTACGACATCAAGTTATGCCTTATTGTATTATATGTTCCAGATGTCAATTTATAAGGCAATCTATGAGCTTTGGTATTACTAATAAATAAAATTCAATTATATTCTACAACATCCTCATTTCCTAATATTTTTCTTTCAATTTTTTTTCAACTATAAATCTCATTTGCCTTTCAGATTTGATTTTGATAAATTAATTAAATAGTTGAAATGTGAAACTAATAAAAGTATATTGCCTTCTTGAAAATGAAAATATTTTTATTGTCTCATTTTACAGACAAATTTAAAATAGCGAAGTAATATACAAAGATTCGGCATATTTTATTTTTTTAATCTTAAAAAGTTTATAGCAAGCTTATAGTCATACAGTGGTAAACTTTTCCAATAGATGTACAGAAAAAGTCGTTTGTTTATGAAAAATTAGCTTTGTTCAATTTTTATAAATTTATTCCAAACCATAAATAAATAATGATTGCGCATAATACCAAACAATAGTTTACTTTATTCTAGATAGTTCATCGTGTAAGATTCAACTATTTATAAAAAAAAATACTAGTATAAAATAATTCTTATTTTATTTTAATAATCATATTCTGTCATTCAACTAGTCATGTTACTTGTAAGTGATTAAAAATATATCGTTGACAGAAAAACACTCTGACTACACTGAAAAAAAAAGAAGCACTCTACGAAACTTAAAAGGGTTCCGAGATTTGCAACGAATTCGAAACCATTTTTCTTTATCATACGGAACCTTCGAGGTTTTTCAAGGGTTTCGTAAAGTCTCACAAAACCCTTAAAGATATCGGAGACTCCGACACAGGTTTCGTGAGACTATACGTAACTTTGAAGGTTCCGTACGACCGCAAAAGGGTTTCGAATTTGTTGCAAATCTCGGAACCTTTTTAAGTTTCGTAGAGTACTTATTTTTTTTCAGTGTAGGAGATATAGCTCAGAGGTAAGTAACTTGTTCTATAATTCAAATCTCTTCTGTTCTAGCCTTTACCACCGCACTTCTCTCCCATGTCGTAAGTTAAATTCCTTGTTCTGTATTATATCTCTAGGAAAGAGCTGACCATTATGTGGTTACGATGGTGCCACAGCACGAATCTCCGAGAACAAGATGTTCATTTTTCCCCTAAATTTCTTCAAACGCGTCCGCAAGCATCAGATCTTTCATCAAGCATTTAGATGCGTTCAGGTGCGTTTACAAAACGCGTTCAGACGCATCCAGAAGACACGTTCAGATTCATCAGATGTTTCATTTTAGCTGCGTTCAATGCGTCTCGTGCTTATCATTTCAAACGCAGCTGTAGCGCGTTTAGCTCTGCTTTTGAGCGCACAAAATTTTCACATGTATAAGCAATGTAGACTACTATAATATCTACACTGCACACCTCGATTTTATTTTATTTTGCTTTAAAATAAAACATCGATGTTTCACAAATGCACGCTAAGTTGATAGAAACAGATTTTTTTAGACCCTATATTCTACTCATGTTGGTCATAATAACTAGCTTTTCGCTGTTAATAGAAATTCCTACTTTTGGAAAATTTTCGTATATTGATGATACCAACAAATCAATTCGTTTTACTTTCGAACAATAATTTTAAAAATTAAAATACTTAAATAAACTAATAATATCGTTGTTTATTTTTATCAAGATCTTGATAAAAAATAATCACGATTGGTATCCTTTTCAAAACCTCAGATAAATTTATATTTAAATGCAAATATCTTTCAAATCGCTTAACCCTTTCAATCCGGCATGTCATCTCGTAGATGACATGAAGAACACGAAACAATTTTTTTTCGTTCTGTCGTCTTCTTCGACGACGTATATCATATATGTTGCATTCTAAGAAAAAGACGAAGGGTCTAAATGACACCAAAATGGGTTTACACTGGAATTTTTTTAAAATTCTATTTTGTAGAAAATCAACTTTAGTAACTAAAGTATTCAAGCTTTTATCATTCATTTATCGAATTTCTACTATTTAGACAATGCTTGATTTTCTCAATAATTGAAATTCAATTTGATTTCTGTTATGTCAGAGGATCTCTCTCCTGTCATAAGTATGTTCTATCTTCTTCTCTCTGTTTCATTCTATCACGTTTACAATCATTCCATTCTTCTTCTCTTATCTATTCTATTTAAATGAGTGTTAATGTTTTAAGAAGGGTGATTATTTCTGGTGAAAAGATAATAATAAGAAGAAGGCGAAATAAAGAAGAAGATTGTAACAATTTCCTGCATTAAATTGAAACTTGAATACCAGGATTTTATATTCAAAAAAGTAGAAATTTATCACTGAATTTGTATTGGCATTTCTAGAATAGCATTCGCAAATTCATATAGGCATTCTATATTTGACAGTGTATATGTATATTAACTTCAATATATATAGAGTCAAATACAGCTGATCGTGACGACAGAACGCAAAAGAGAGGGATTGAACTTCTGTTTTTCTTCTTCATACAGAACGTAAGAAAATGACGGGATTGAAAGGGTTAACAAGACCTTGCTTTACACAACCCCCAGAATTCACGATCTTACTTACAAGATGTTTCACTAGAATTTACATGCACTAATTTATGTACACATTTGAAAGCTGTCTATTTCGAACTATGTAATATCAATAATTAATGGTACTTTATATTTTTAATGAACTAGTACAACTTTGTTTTGTACTTATAAGCCTTTTTTCATTCTTTATTTCACAGAAATAGACAATCTTGTTCAAGACCATGTGAATGTTCTTGCTCGTCTTTACTTAACTATTCAAAATCGCCTCTCAGAATCAAATCGTCTTCAACTAGATGCGTATCCATTACCTAAAATTATACCAATAAATAGTTCGCATCCACATATTCGTCGTTTGGTCTTTTTACGTCAATATGAAATGTTACATTGTTTGCGTTCTATACAACAAACACGATTTGACTTAAATGAACCACATATTATTATTCAAATCATAGATAAAAAGCCGATTGATAAATACAATAATTTATGGCAATGTCATATTAAACGTGGTCAAGAAACAATTTCCAAAACTTTGACTGAAAATGTAATAAATACAAATGATTTTCGTACATACCCATATTTAATTTTTGAAGATATTGATACCATAAGAACATTTCCTGATGCTATTTATATGGATTTAGCTATTGATGGTGTTCGTTCTGGTACGAAATTTGATCGATACGGTTTAGCTCATGTTGAAAAACAAGAAGAAGAATCAATATTTATCCGTGTAAAACTGTGTAATCTTTCTCTTGAAATCAATCATCAATATTATCTATGTGAACGTTATGTAGATTTTAATACTAAAAAAGCAATAAAAGCATTAGAACAAGTTACTAAGTTGACAATACAAATATTAGATGATCCAAAACAATTGGAAAAACCACGAGCAATGCAACAAACGAATGAAGTAATGCAACAAGAAATAAAAAATATGTTTTCCAAAAGGGAACCTTCGATGAAACCTGAACAATTGCATATGCTTAATAAAGCACAACAATTTGCATGTGAAAAAATTAAAAATGAACGAGTTACACTAATTTGGGGACCTCCAGGTACGAGCAAATTTTATTTTCTTGTTTGGAAAAAGATTTATCATCCGAAATAATTCTTATGAATAAATCGTTCAAGTCTATCTGTAGTCATTAAGAGTATAGATTTACGGATCTAATCATTCGGTGTAAGTTTCAATTTGAATGAAGTGACATTTAAAAAACAGATTGAAAACTCGAATAAAACTTTGATTTCCTTCCGTAGAAAATCAAATCATACTATAGGTAATATCATCTAAATTTTAGTTTCATAATTAACCCTTTCAAAGTCATCTCATTACTCAATACACTCAGCTGGATTAGAATCAATAATGTTCGTTTATTAAAAATGCCAAGTTCTTGATATTTTCTCAACGGGAAAAAGTGAGACTACCGACGTCAGAATACAGTTTTAGTCTAATTGAAATGAAGGTAAAGTACAGTGTTGTTCGATTACAGCAATAGGAGTGTGTACAGAGTTGTTATGTCCTGAGTTCACAGGGCTTTCTTTATTACGTATAAGACATAACTGTTTCATAACAATAAACAAAAAGGGAGAAGAACGAGAGAAAACAAACAAACAAGAGAGTGTTGACCTCCAACATATAGATA